GAGAGGTGACGTGACGAGTGAGGGGTGATGAGTGAGAAGAGATGAGTGAGGGGTGGGTGAGGTGAGGGTGAGGGTACGGCAGACTTTGCTCTCTTGACGTGTGTGTGAGGGGTGAGAGGGGTGAGAGATGGTGCGTGGGGGTGGAGGGTTAAGGGTGAAGGGTGAAAGGTGAAGCAGGCTCCGCTATCTTGACATATGTGTGTGAGGGGCGATAGGTGAGGTATGAGGGATGGGGGGTGAGGTTGCAATCATCCCTTTTTGCAGCAGCCTCAAATCGGACATGCTATAAAGTCACTTAGCTAGAGCAGTCATTGACATGTCCATTCCTTCCCTGCCCACTTTGTTGACTTGCACCTCTTTCTCCAGAATAATATCCTAAACCGATCCAAATCGGTCATTAAACATGCTTCAAACGCACCTTGTGCGTTTGTGTTTGGTGAATGCATTTCACTCTTCTCATTTCCTGCAGTGCGCTATTTTCTTTCTTCCATGCTCCACTCCAACCACCCCTCACTTAGCTCCACCCTCTCCTCTCCAATCAGGGCACCACTCGGTCTGCCTTGGAGCGCATGGCATCGACTGCACTCATAGAGACAAGTTGTTGTCATGACCTCATCAAAGTGCCTGTTGTGTTGGCCGCCTGCCTCCCCAGGTCTCGACTTTGATGCCACCACGATGCATCCATACCAATCCCCATCATCATCATCCTCACTTCCCCACTTCTCTCCCACCTATCAATCAGGACACTAACAAGTTTGCCTTGGAGCGCAGATCATCGACTGCAATCATTGCACCAAATGCAATCATTGACAGCTCCTCACTTCCCCCTATCCCCCCTGCCTCACTCCAGGGCACCACTCGGTCTGCTTTGGAGCGCATAGCATTGACTGCACTCATCAAGAGCTCCTCAAAGAGCCTGTTGCGCTGGCCGCATGCTTCCCCAGACCTCGACTTTGATGCCACGGCCATGCATCCACACCCCTCATCATCTTCATCATCCGCCTCTTCTTTGTCACTCTCATGGTCACCCCCATCATCATCCCTCGTACCATCTTCGGTCTCGTCTGAGTCACCTCCCGCTGCTGAATTCCCTCAAACTACAACTACAACACATGGGAGAACACCAGCCATTTCACCACCAGCCACTTGCTCTGTTCTCGCGGGTGTGTGGCGCCTCAAGAAGCGGGTGATTTCGAGTGAGCGCTTGGTGTGGAAGCTGAATGAGATTCACGAGGCCGTGTGGTACCAGCCTGAAAGCTCCCTCAAAAGCAGTATCGATGTCTACCTGCGCAGCTGGGGAGAGACCATGAAGGACCATGAAGGTATGATGCTTCATGCTAAGATGAACGCTTGTTGTGGAAATTGAATGAGATTCATAAGGTGGTGTGGTATCACCACCACCACCAAACGTATCACTCTCCCCCGCTCCTGTTCCTTCTCCTTCCTATTCTACCATGATGCAGTGCTACGATCGGCCAGATCCTGGCCTGGCAACCCAAGTGCTGCCCATTTATTTTTCTTAGGCGCCTAAAAAATCAGATCACCCTCCCCTGTTCCTGTTCCTTCTCCTTTCTACCATGATGCAGTGCTATGATTGGCCAGAGCTTGGACCAGCAACCCGAATGCTGCCCAGTGAATCAGCACCATGCTCTTACTCCGCCGAGTCTTGTTTCGACTTGAGCTTGCAGCAGGCAGCCCCACAGTGGACTCCAGAGAGCATTCTTGGTGAGTGCCCTGCGTTTATAGAATGGCTGCAAGAGCGCCTGCCATGAAGGCCATGCATTAAGGAATATTGCCGTCCTCCTACACCGCAAAATCCTGCTTTGACTCAAGCTTGAAGCAAACGGCGCCACGGTGGACTCCAGAGAGCTTTTGAGTCGACTAAAAAATGGACTCCAGGAAGCCTTTTGGCTGAATGCCCTGCGTTTATAGAACGGCTGCAGCAGCGCCTGCCATAGAGATTGGCATGAATGCAGGAAACACAAATGTTCCCATGAACGCCTTACCTTGGGTTAGGTCTCAATGTATTGTGCGACGCTATACCATGAAGGGGTGTGAACGCACCCTATTTCCAACGTCCCGGAGCACATCGTCCTGGTTTTTTAGCACGGCACATCCTGGGCTAGCTTAGTCCGAACGAGGCTTTAAATGATTTTGAATACAATTTGATGTGAACGTACAATTCTATTTCATCCTTGGTTGTTCACGATGACGATCAAGGTGATACTGACAATACAAGGCGCAGATTCAATTGAGGATATCGCACACTCGAAGACGAGTGGTAGACAAAGCCCAACGAAGACGTAACGAAGATTGTTCATTCTGTTTCGCACTGAGTTGAAGGTATATCCTTTCGTGACCAATCGGGATGGTGAGGACGGCTATTTCCTGACTGACTGAGACTGACCCTGGGTATTGCCGACTTTTTTCTAGGTAGATAACCATTTGTCGGTTGAGGCAAGCATAGGTAGGTACTTAATGGAATTGTATTTGTCGATAATATTCGTCTGTATCGCCTAGCTTCGTCCTCATTGGATTGACTCTGCGGACAAATCCCGAGAAATGGGGGAATCCATCGCCATGGTTCCCCCCTCCTGTGATGGGTACAGTAACTCAGTAGGCTCGTTATCCTGCGCGAACATGCGTGCTTCCGCCGGCGAAACCAGTGATACCAATCAAGCAACTGATCATATATGCTCCAGTTCCAGTGACTCGGATTACCTGTTCCACTTCAACTCTGGTTCCCCTCCATTACTGGCACAGCTCCTTCCGCTCCATATCGAACGTCGCTTGTCACCATGGTTCCTTCCGATATTAGTCACATGCCGCTTCCCGAGCCTGAGATCTTCGTCGACGTCGCTATAGCGGGGGCTGGACTTGGCGGTCTCGCGCTGGCAGTCGGTCTGCAGGAGCGAGGCTTTAAGTCAGTCATGCTCTTCGAGGCCGTGCCTTACTCCCGCTCCCAGACCGGCACAGTTTTCGGCATCTCTCCCAACGGTGTCACGGCGCTCGAAGGGTTAAAGCCCGGGCTCGGCGACGCTGTGATTCGCTGCGGATCAACGATCACGCAAACGAGGCTCGTTTCTCGAGAAAATCCGGAGCGTACTGAATCTGCATCGGCCATTGCTTCAAGCGGCGGTAATAGCAGCAGCGGCGGTTTCACCAGTAACGACGCTGCTACTAATGGAGCTGGTGAAAATAGTGATGGCTGGGTTGTGAAAAAAATGCCTAGAAACCTGACAATCGTAGGGTGGGCGCGAGCCCAAGAGGAGCTTGCCTCGTCTTTAGTAACGCGACCCGAGATTATTATGCACGGACACCGCGTCGTGGCGTATTACCCTGTCGTCGCAGGAGTGCCCATTGCGAACAGGGGTGCTGGATCGGGTAGCACGAATGGTGGTGCTGGAGAGGGAGAGGTGGAAGCGGTTGACGTGGTGCTTGAGGTGGTGGGTTCGAATCTCGAAACCACAGGAGCAGTGCAGATGCAGCGTCAGCTGGTGGTTCGTGCGAAGATTCTGGTCGCAGCAGATGGCCTGCGATCAGCTGTGCGAAATCAAATGATCGGCGACTCGCCACGGTATTTAGAACAAATTGGTTGGAATGCGCTTGTTCCAAATCCGCCGAGTGCGAGAGTGTACCCACAAGAAGATCAGGAGTTATTATATTATGGATGAGGTTATGGGTTACCAGCTGTTTCTGATTGACATCGGCCACGGGAAGACCTTTTGGCAGGTATGCTGTTACTTTGCATGCGGTGGTGTAATTATTTTGCACATCTTTCCTGTGAACCTGTTATTTTCCTTTCTACACTGTTTCAACCTAACCCAGCAGAAGATCCTGCCATGGCGTTTTTAGCCTATGCATCGCTTTTCACCGCTTTTGAAATTCGCTCTACCCAAACCATCTTCCCAATCGCAGGTACGCGTAATTGACCCTGATAGCAAGCTGAAGCCCGAGCTCAAACTTACACCCTTTGGGGGATTCGGGAAACCAGGTGTCAAGGACCGTTTGATGTGCCATGTCAGCAAGAACATTGCAGACCCATCAGGCCATGACATCTGGCATACCGTGCTTCAGGCGGTTACCACGACCGACCCCGGTAACATCTACGAGCGGTGGATGATGGACCGGCCTCCTCCGAAGGATTCTTGGAGCGACCCCAAATGTGGTAACAGGGTTGTTCTTATGGGGGATGCTGCACATGCCATGCACACTGGCCCAGGGCAAGGAGCTCAGATGGCATTTGAAGATGCACACCAGCTGTCCATGTGCCTTGCTGACGTCAAGGATGTCCTTGCCGAGCCTGCAGCCGTGGCTGCTGCGGTTCGGGAGTACGAGGCTCGTCGAATCGACAGGTGTGTGAGAGTACATGCATACGCCACTGCAACACATGGGTTCGGAGAGGAGGGGAAACTTGTGAAGGCTCTTTCTCCGCCAGAGAAAATGAAGAGGTTCATGGAGTTCAGGAGTTGGGTCCATGCGTACCCAGACAAGATCAAAGGTGACCCTGAATCCACCTACTTCAAATGATCCACCTAATCTGATCTTCGCGACTCAGAATTCGCTTGATTGAGTAAGGTTCTGGATGGATGCCTTTCAAGGAAATAGTGTGTCTTACAGTGGTTGGTGTTTTTGGGTAGCTGGAATATCATCTCTGGTTCTGGTTGGTTTGGCTACTGGATTAGTAGTTGGGTCAGTGTTGCTGGAAGAACTCATTGCTGGTTTGTCACCAAGTACACCGCTGTACTGGTATCTAGTTCCTAAATCTGAACTCTCCTGTAGGAACTAGATAGTACAGCAAGCAAGTTTCAGGAAAGTTCTGTTCTGACTGAGGATGCTTTTATTGTGCAACATTCATTTAGTAGTTCCATTCTGTTCTGTTGCCCTGTGAACTCCTCCCATTCGATGCACAATTCGCACTTGCTGGGCACTGTCTAGCCTGGAGAACTCAACGATAGCTTTAATTAATTGTTCCTCAGACTGAACAATCCAGAGTCACTTTATTGGAAAAAGGTGGAATCTGGATGCCCATCGATCTTGTCAGGATAAGCATACATCCACCTGATGAACTCCATGGTAGCTTTCATCTGATCCTCCACGCTCCTGCTCTTGAACTCCCTTCCCTCCTCCCCATACCCAATCAGCCTGGTTGCATGCTGATGCACCTTCACACACCGCGCTATCCGCCGAGCCTCAAACTCCCGAATCGCCGCAGCCACGGCAGCAGGCTTGGTAAGCAGGTCCGGATCCCCCGTCTCACCCAAGCACAGGGACAACTGGTGAGCATCCTCAAACCCTGTCAGTGCCCCCTGCCCCGGCCCAGGATCCATGGCATGGGCCGCATCCCCTATAAGAACAACCCTGTTACCGCATACAGGGTCGCTCCAGGAATCAGCGGGCGGCGGACGATCCAGCTGGCGACGTTCGAATATTAGATTCTCCGGGGTGGAGGAAGCTTCTTGGAAGGCTCGTTCCCAGAGCGGGTGGTGGGGGAGGTTGGCCTGGATGAGAGGGAGCAGGCGGGCTTTAATGTTGTGCTTGCTGCCGAAGCCTGCAAAGGGGGTGCCTTGAGTGTTGGGTCCATTTCATAATCCACGTATCGCACCTGAAGAAAGGGAAAAGAACAGGGGATGCCTCTTAGGCGTAAAATGAGGGGAATATCTTGGCGTTTGCAGTCCAATTCTTAGTCCATATATTGTACCTGAGGAGAGGGGAAAGGGAAACAGGAAGGAGGGGTGCAGCACAGGCAGGGTAACGTGGATGAGAGGGAGGACGCTGTACCTGCCACAACAGTACCTGCTACAACCGTACCTGGCACAACCGTACCTGCCACAACCGTACCTGCCACAACCGTACCTGCCACTTACCTGCCACAACCGTACCTACCACAACCGTACCTGCAACAACCGTACCTGTCATTCTGTACCTGGCACTACTGACCTGCCAGTACCATACATGCCAGTCCGTACCTGCCAGTACCATACCTCCCAGGACCATACCAGCCAATACCTGCCAGATTCTCTCGCCGTTCTTCAAAGTGATGAAGATCGCACTGCATCCCGTCACCTCGTCAATCAGGGCCGTCAATTCAGGAACAGCAGCCTCTCTTGATTCTCCTGAGCTGCTGACGTCAGCGGGACTGCTGACATGAACTGGAGTGCTCAGGAACGAATTCCAAGCGATCTGATTGAGAAAACGCGGCGAGTCGCCGATCATCTGATCCCTCACAGCTGATCTCACCCCGTCAGCTCCCACCAGCATCTTCGCCCTCACAACCACAATTTGCTTCTCGCCAGGATTCGAACCCACAACCTCACAGATCACATCCACCGCCTCCACTTCACTTTCTCCCCCTTCTTCACTCCCCTCCCCCGCTCCCCTCACCCCCCCCACTTCCCTCACTCTTCCCGCTCCCTTCGCTTCCCCTGCTCCCCCCGCCGCCCCCGCTTCCGCCTCCCCGCCACCCCTGCGCTTAAACACAGGGCGGTACCCCACCACGCGATGCCCACATCGCACCAAATCAGGCCTAGGGAGTGCCGATGCGAGTGCCTCTTGGATGCACCACCAGGGAACCATGTTCAGCCCCGCTACTTCCGTCTCCGCCACCAACCAATCAGAACTTTGCGCTGCTCCGTCTCTCCCAACCGCACTTCCGCCACCTGCCCTTGCGCCACTGCCGCCACTTCCGCCGCTTTCCGCGCACCCACTTTCCCCCGGCCCGCTTTCCGCTCCGCCTGACGGCGACGGCAGTGGCGGCGGCGGCTGCGGCGGCTGCGGCGGCCTGCACCGGTTGTAGAGCCTCCGCCGGTTCACCAGCGTGCCGTGTCGCGCCACGGAAGCGCTCAACCCGGGCAGGATTCCGTCGAGAGCGGCGGCGCCGTTCGGCCAGATGACGAGGACGGTGCTGTTGCTCGATCGCAGCGCGGGCGCTGCCTCGAAAACGGCCGCCTCGACGCCGCGCGACTGCAGGCCGGCGGCCAGCGCGAGCCCCGCGAGCCCGCCGCCCGCGATCGCCACGCATCGGAACCTATACCTGTGTGTAAAACAGCATGCCATCCAGTGGCTTGATGTTTGATAGGCATCGCTGGGGAAGTTTTCGCGATGCCTGGGACTGGCGTGTTGCAATACACACTTACAGCGTGTCACCTGCAGGTTGATTTCAACATCCCATGCGGCATCATTCCCAACCCCAGGTTTCGCTCCACAATCGAACTCGCCATTTCCCAAAGCGCGCAAGTACTGTACAAAGCCAATTGCGGAAAAGGGTTCGGTACTCTTTTTTTCCGGGTCAAGAGTTTCGGGTTGATGCAAAACATCTGTGCATAAATCGAAGCGGGACTGTTCGCAATCAAGTGACTCTACATTTTTCTAATATAAGCCTACGAAACAGTTTGAGAATTGAAATGGTGAATCATTGTTTTCGTACATAAACTCAAGCTAGCTTACAACGGATCGTTTCGCGGCCGAGGCGGCGGTACTGTAGCTTTGTGGTTACCGAATGGTTGTTACGGTTTTCCATTTATTATGTTACATTTGTAACCGTATTAACATTAGTCACCGTGGTTACCAAGAGTTCGAACAATTTATTTATTTCTTCATTACAGCAATCCGTACAAACTAATAATTGTCCTGGGGACGTAAACTGGGCCAGTTTCAATTACGAATTTAGCAACAGCAGCATTAAATAGTGTCAGAACTTATAGCTTACTTGTTTCTGTAGGCTATAGTGGGGTATCCCATAGGGGGTACAACACATTAGGGTTTCCTATTTGTATTCACTTCACTTCATAGTCATTCTCCCTCGTTCACTTGTTCACATGGAATCAGAGCAGGTTCCCCTGTGGGAACTGTGCTTCGGGCCCACCACCTAGAACCTTTTTTTTTCTGCCCTGGCGCCTGCCCTAGTGCCCGCCCTAACGCCCGCCCTAGCGCCCGCCCTTTCGAGCCGCCCGTGCGGCTGCCCGTTTGCGCCGCCTCTTGCGCAGCTCGTAGCGCCGCCCGTGCGGCCGCCCGTTAGCGCCGCCCGTGCGGCCGCCCGTAGCGCCCCCCGTGAGCCGCCGCCCGTCGCCACCCTTTAGCGCCGCCCGTGAGCGCCGCCCGTGACGCAGCCGCCCGTGAACCGCCGCCCGTTACGCCGCCGCCCGTGACGCCGCCGCCAGTCCCGTCACCCCCCCCCCCCCCCCCCCCCGTGACGCCGCTGCCCGCGCACCGCCCACCCGTGGGCCTTCAGCCGGCCCGTGAGCTGCCGACGCCGCCCGTGAGCAGCCCACGCCGCCGCCCGCCACGCGTGAGCCGCCGACGCCGCCGACGCCGCCCGTGAGCCGCAGACGCCGCTGCCGCTGCCGTCGCCAGTAAGCCGCCGACGCCGCCGCTGCCGCCAGTGAGCCGCCGACGCCGCCGCTGCCGCCCGTGCGCTGCCGACACCGCCGCCGCCGCCCGTGAGCCGCCGTCGCCCGTGAGCCGCCGACGCCGCCCGTGAACCGCTGACGCCGCCGCAGCCGCCCGTGAGCTCCCCGCGCGCCGTCCCAGCCGCCCGTGAGCCGCCACCGAGCTGCCCCAGCCGCCCGTGCCGCCGCCCGAGCCACCTGAGCCGCCCGCGCCGCCCTAGCCACCCGGGCCGCCCGAGCCGCCCTAGCCGCCCGAGCCGCCCGCGCCGCCCGAGCCGCCCGAGCCGCCCGAGCCGCCCGAGCTGCCCGCGCCGCCAGAGGAGCTGCTCTCCTGCTCCTGTCGGACTGCTGCTGCTCCTGGGCTGTGTACCTGCGCCGCTGACCTACCCGACTCTTCCTGCCTGGTGAGACTGTCAGCTGCTGTCATGGCCACCCCCAATGTCCTAGCTTTTGATGCTGAGGGTAGAGCCATTGACTTTGCAGTCTGGATTGAGGACCTGCAGCTGTACTTACTGTGTGATGCGGTCGATGAGGTCTCTCTCTTTGACTTTGTCTCTGGCGCTGTCCCTGCTCCTCCTCCTGATGCTGATTCCGCCGTTCGCTCCAAGTGGGCGACCCGCGATGCTGCTGCACGTCTTGCTGTGCGTCGCCACCTCCCTTCCTCCGAGCGTGCCCACTTTAGTCAGTGCAAGACCGCTCAGGCCTTGTACGACGCTGTAGTTGCACGCTACTCCTCCCCTTCCTCCGCTACCCTTAGCCGCCTCATGCTACCGTTTCTCTTCCCTGACCTCGCTTCCTTTCCCACTGTCGCTGACCTCGTTACCCACCTCCGTGCTAGTGACACCCGCTACCGCGCTGCCCTTCCTGCTGAGTTCCGCGCTGCGAACCCTCCTCCCATGTACATCACTCTCTACTTTCTCGTCACCCGTCTCCCTGAGTCCCTTCGTGTCGTTAGGGACCAGTTTCTCTCTGTCTGTCCCACCACTCTCACTGTCGACCTCCTTGAGGAGTCCCTGCTAGCGGCTGAGAAGAGTATTGTCGCTGTAGGGGCCTCTCGGGGTGACCCTCGCACCCCCATCTTTGAGGGGTGTGGTCCTTCCCCCCTGCTGCCCTCTGTCGCCTCTGCCGCTGCGGCCGACCTCACTGGTTTTGAGTCAGTCGGCGCGGCGTCTGCCCCCAGCGGCAGACGCCGCGCTGGCAAGGGAAAGGGGGGCAAGGGAGCGGGTGGAGCTAGAGGGGGCGGTGGAGGAGGCGGTGGGGGTGGCGGGGGGAGTGGGGGTGGCGGTGGGGGTGGTGGCGGGAGTGGAGGTACTAGTGGCGGCGGTGGCGGCGGAGGTGGTAGCGGAGGAGGCGGTGGGAGCGGTGGGAGCGACGGTCCTGGTGGGGGAGGTGGAGGTGGAGACGGGGGTGGCGGTGGAGGCGGGGGTGGCAGTGGAGGCGGGGGTCGGAGTGGCTCGTCTCAGCGGAGCAGCTCCGGGGGTGGTCAGCGCCAGCAGCAGCAGCAGCAGCAGCCGCAGCAGCAGCCACAGTAGCAGCAGCGCTCTCGCACCGTCCCCGCCCCTCAGCAGCTCCGTGAGTGGTACTCGCAGCGTCAGCGCGGTGGTGCGCTTGGTCCTTGCCCCTACGTTCTCCGCACCGGTGACCGTGCAGGGGAGAGGTGTGGAGGCGCCCACACTGCCCGCCGCTGCTTTGGCCGCCTGACTGACGCCTGGCGTCAGCAGTTTCCGGAGGCAGCTGAGATACCCCGCTGGGGAGAGCTGTCTAGGGCTGGTGTAGCTATTTATGATCTTGATTTTGATGCTATTCTCTCTGCTATGTATGCTGCGATTGGTAGTGATGAGGATGACTGTTACCGGTGTTTCCCGCCCGACCCGGGCATTGGTACTGCCGCGTCAGGTACTAGTGAGGCTGCTGCTCTAGGTGCCAGTGCGTCTGTGCTCTCAGGTGCTGGTGAGTCTGCCCTCTCAGGTACTGTGTCGGCTTCGGCCTCTCACACCTTCACCCTTGACTCTGGAGCGTCTCGCTCCTTCTTTCGGGACCGCACCACTCTTACGCCGCTGAGTCGGCCGGTTGCGGTGTCCCTGGCTGACCCTTCTGGGGGGCCTGTCCTGTCTCGCTTCTCCACTGTCCTCCCGTGTCCGGCGGCCCCCTCTGGCACCCTGACTGGTCTTTACCTCCCCTCGTTCTCGACGAACTTGGTGAGTGGTGCTGACCTCCAGGATGCGGGTGTCCACCAGTTCACCCCTGCTCGTCAGCGGGTGACCCACTGCACGGAGGCGGATACAGGTCGCCACCTGGCTACGTTTACACGTCGGCCAGGGTCGAGCCTGTACACACTGACCACTGCTTCTCCTCCAGGTGCTGAGTCTGGTAGGGTCCCTTCGTCTGGTCAGGTGTTTGCTGCAGCGTCCAGGTCTGGTCCTGAGTCTGCCCCCTACTCGTGTCGTCGTCTGTCTCACGAGACCCTCCTCTGGCACCACCGCCTTGGCCACCCCTCCCTGCTTCGGCTCAGAGGCATGGCCTCGCGAGTCCTTGTGTCTGGTCTTCCCCGGTCTCTCCCTCCCCTTCCTCCGGGCCCTGGCCCCACCTGTGTCCCCTGTGTCGAGGGGCGCCAGCGTGCTGCCCCTCACTCCTCCCAGTTTCCTCCGACAAAGGCCCCGTTGCAGACGCTTCACATGGATGTGTGGGGCCCAGCCCGCGTCCGTGGACAGGGTCAGGAGCGCTACTTCCTGCTGGTGGTTGACGACTACTCGCGTTACACCACAGTCTTCCCCTTGCGCAGCAAGGGTGAGGTCACTGCGGTGTTGATCGACTGGATCCGCGCAGCTCGTCTCCAGCTTCGGAGGAGCTTTGGCTCTGACTTCCCTGTTTTGCGTCTGCACTCGGACAGAGGCGGAGAGTTCTCCTCTGCCCTCCTGAGTGCCTACTGTCGTGCGCGAGGCATCCGTCAGACCTTCACGCTTCCGGACTCACCGCAGCAGAATGGGATTGCTGAGCGCCGCATTGGCATGGTCATGGACGTCGCTCGTACGTCCATGATGCATGCGGCTGCTCCCCATTTTCTGTGGCCGTTTGCGGTCAGGTACGCTGCGCACCAGATCAACCTCCACCCCAGGGTCTCTCGACCGGAGACCTCCCCAGCCCTGCTGTGGACGGGGAAGGTTGGCGATGCGTCGGCGTTCCGGGTCT